TAATAATTCATCTATTAATATATTCTGTATCATTCTATTGTGTGGTTAATAATCATTTATTGGGACGGGATTGTAGCTCAGTGGTAGAGGGCTTGACTACCATGCATGAGGCACTGGGTTAGTTCCCTGAACTGTGTCCCATCTACCAAAAAAAAAAAATATATATATATATATATATATATGTATATATATAAAATCATTTATTGACTCTGCTGTATGCCCGATACTATACTGGGCCTTTTACATGTTACTTCATTTGATCTACTCCTTCCAAGAAAGTACTGGATTTTTTTTTTTTTAACATATGGGAACATGGAAGATTAGAGACACTAATTTTCCAAGGTCAAAATTTTCCACATGGCTAAAGAGTGGCAGAGCTGTTGGGTCTGTTGGTCTCATAATACTACATGCTAGATGTAAATACAAGATGTGAACACATCAAAAATTATAGGATAACAATACAGTTAGTATCTACCTAGTAAAGTCTTAAGACTACGAGGCTAAAAGATCTTTCTTTGTAAGATACCATTGAAGGGGAAACAATTTAAAGAACTTACTAAAAATGAAATTCTTCTAAAGGACCCAAACAATCACAGGTTAACAATCACTGCATCCTGATCCATACATTCCCATCCCAGGTGAAGCGATAGAAGTCACTGCTCTGCCCTTCATCCTGCCAGGGTCTGACCCATTATTTGAGGACAAGCTCCTAATCCCCTTCCTTCAGGAATCTCCAAATTGAACACTGTGCTCAGCATCAATCTCTCCCTTCCTTGTCCCCTGGCACCATACTACCACTCATGCATTGAATATGGCACCGTCTCTTTATACTTGGCTCTTGTGTTCCTTCCCAAGCTGCAGGGCTTGGGGACTTTTCTGTGAATAGCATGGTCTACCTTTACAGGTTGAATTAATAAATCATTAGGGGCATATGGATTCAACTGTCTAAATCCATGCATAAGAGCCATAAATGTGTATTATTTAAAACTTGGAATTAAATGACCAATCTAAAAGAATTCGGGTGAGCACATTTTTTTTATCTTAAAATTCACAAACTAAGGTTGATATAGGAATGTTTTTTATTTTCTAAAAATTTCTGTGATAAACATAGGCTATTTGTTTCAGAATGACCCAAGTGAATTTTCATCCTCTTTGGAAGGGTGCATGGGAATGTGGTGATTCCTCTCCATTGCTATGGCAAACAAGCCATTCAGCTAGCTGAACTCTGCAGCAACATACTGTCTGCGAGACGCAGTGTTTAGTTGCTCCCAACTCATAAGCAGGGACCATATGCTCTTTGGCAAAATTTAGCACAAAGGCCTATATCACAGTAAGTAGTGAAATCCTGTCAATGTGTAATAAAGGGGCAATTCTCTAGAAGGGGCCTCTGAATACCATAAACAGCATTAGCACCTTAAGAGCCTTTGAGGTTCCTCTAGGTATTGCACAATCCCCAGATGTGGAAATAACCAAAGCCCCTCCTGAATTAATACAAATTCCAAAAGAATACAGGCCACCACTGAGTTGCAGGTTGTTTTCAGGAAGTTTTTAAACTCAGTTTTAGTATTCAGAACATTCCCATGGAATCAGTATTGCAGGCGATGGTCTGGTGCAGAGGCCTGAGCCAGTGACAATTCCCACCCACCACTGAAACCTGCTTCCAAAGGGGAAAATGCAGCCAGAGCTCTGCATAGGGACTTTAGGGGGTCAGTGTTGCCCTTCGATAGAGCCAGACTTCAGGGTGAGGGCAGTGGGCATGGAAGGGTGGCTAAAGATAAGATGCTTCCTAAAGGGAGGAAAATCAGAGGGAAGGGAAGCCCACCAAGGAGATATGCTGGGCCAGGCCTTCCTTCTTCCTCCTAGTTTTGTGGCCACACTTAAGACTGGAAGAGCCCCCAGTCCAGGGTCTCAGGAAACTGGAACTCCAGGCCCAAGAGGGCACTCCCACCCACCAGCACAGGCATCATAGATCCTTCACCTTCCAGAGTAACAGTATCCTGATCTAGACAATAACTGCTGTGATCTTCTCAGCCTAGGAATCCAGTTTGCTCGTGGGGAGATGAAAGAAGCACTCAGAACTCAGGCTGTGGCTGATGGAAATACTCAGAGGCCCTCCAGCAGCAAGACCACGAGGAGATAGACCTGCTGGCAGGGCCAACTTCCCCATACCTGAGGTCTGATGTAGGCAGGTCAAGGGTCATGCTCATTTAAATAATGGCAGCTTTTAAAAGTCCAAGAACTTAAGAGTTGACTAAAGCTAATGTTTCAAATTCAAGTAAATCATAAGTATATTTTCACATGTTGCTCAAATATAAGATAGAATATATTTAGCATTCTTCCCAAAATCTATTTTTTGTCATCCAGAAGAAAAGAGTTTTTTAAGGTCTACTTAAGGTCCTTATCAAAGAAATTAATTACTATTTTTTAATTAGTAGAAGCTGATTTGACAAGTTTGACTATAATCTTGGGTTATGAAATTGCTCGCTCTCTATGTATGGAGCACATAGATACATGCATTCGTGCATGAATGCAAATTATCTTCCCTAATGATTTGGCAATAGTTGTCATAGAGTTCATTTTGAAAAACAAAAATATCCACCTAAAAGACCCACCCTGTTCCTAGGAGCTGCATCTTAATGCTATAGAAGTCTGACACAAGTCCACAAAATAACAAAACTGTAACACACAGTTTAATTTTTGCCAGTGATACATTTGTTTCTTTATACAATTAGTGTTAAAAATAATTTCCATAGCAGCTGTCCTCTATTTCTTAAAATCTCTACCAAGCCTCCCAGGACATTTTAGCAAAAGCTTGCCCAGGATATGGTGAAAACCATCAAGGAAAACATGTGGCACACCCTGGACATTTAAATCAAATATGCTTAGACTGGCTCCTGGGGAGAGCTGTCAATTAGAGATGAGGCTTGAATGAGCCAATGAGCCCCAGACAGCTGAAGGTGTAGACAATGAAGTCCTTTAGCAGTATTTCTGTGCGGCTCAGTGAGTCAGGAATTTGGCTTCCTCTGAGATCATGTATGCAACCAAATTTCAATTCAGAGTCCAAAGATTAATGAATCAACCACTGCTTAAGGGCAATGTATACATTGGAATTGGAATTCCTCCCCACCTTTTCCCTAACAAGTTGGATGCAGCTTAGTCTAGACAGCAAAGCAAAAAGACATCTATGTTTAGATGAGATTAGTTATCACTGATATTAAAGCACAGGATCAGCACCTGCTCAGGATGGTTCACCTCTCTACAGTTTATACTCTGCTTATGAATTTTCTCATCATTTCCAAAAACAATGAAAACATTATGTAAGTTTAAGGTCCAGAAATGTTGAGGCTTGAAAGAGCACGACACTGGCCAGCAAACTATCATGTACGCCTTCTTTTTTTGTCATCGCTAAATAACCTCATCCAGTCTAAAGTCAGCATTTATATTCAGAGCAGAAACATCAAAAATCTTAATTCTCTCTCTTTTGGACCTAACTTACCTTATCTGAACAGTGTAGACATAATTGACGGGTTTGGGTTCCCACTCCAAAATTGTCTTGAAATTAGTTGATTTCCAAGTTAAATTATATGCTCTAACTGGAGTGCCTTCAAACAACAGAGAAAGAGCTATTATTACATGTACCTCTCAGTCCGTAACTTTGTGCTAACAGTATAAAACATCTTCTCAGCCTCCCATCACTATAAACTTTACATTTTTGTTTCAACTGCAAAAGTTTTGCTATTGAATTATTAAGAGGGGAGAAAAAACACTTTTCAAATTTTCTCTAGACCCAGAATTTCCTCTTGGCAAGATCCACCTTTCTATGGAAACCGGCAAGGATCTTGAAATCCTCATTTGGAATTATTCAGAAAGCCCTGTCATAACTTGACCTGGAAGCACAGCCCAGGAGCCACGGAGAAACGCACAACTCAGGGTCAACTCACCACAGAAGGATAGCTAGGAAGAATTTTCAGTGAGTTAGGAAAAGGGTAGATCCCACATGTTTAAGAGTTAGGAATGCATACAAATGAAAAAAAAGTCAAACTTGACCTTTTCCATTTGATCCAAAACGTCTCTATCCTGAAACTTTCACTGAGATCAAGATGGACATGGTGGCTGGTCTGTTGGATGTATTCTATTAGGATGCTTCTCTGCTGATACTCTAAAGGAGGAAATCTCTGCCCAGCCCCAACAGGCATGGGATAGGCACACTGTCATGCCTAATCCAATCTTAGCGACACTGTACAGCAGGATTGCTTCTATCCAATTTTAAAACAAAGCCCACATAAGAAAGACCAGGGGTGCTCTTTATTAAGGGAAGATGAACACACATTGAAAGATAATATTTAAATCATTCTTCGCATGTCAACCTGTGCGGATACGGACCACGTCTCAACACAGTCAAGGTCGCAACTCATTAGGAACCTAATTTTTACTCAAAATTAAAGCGGGATCCCAAAATCCGCTTATACAAATAATGGACACACCAAGCTAAGCATCTCTAATGTAAGGCGAAACGGGTCTGGGACACTTATAACCATTTCGCAACTCTCGCCCGTGCGCCTCGCAGCACGGGTTCATTCAAACCCGGCGAGGTGAGCCCTGCGGAGCTCCGCGGGAGCCGGGGTGGGAGGCACCCTGCGGCGCCGCGGGAACCCGGAGAGCGCGCTCCCAGGACTGACCCTTCTCTCCCGCGGGCGGCGCTCCTCCCGATTCCTTGAATGGATGCCACTCACCTGTACCACCCGCCACCTGGGCAAGGACCCAGCCGAGCAGAAGCGTCCGTGTGAACAATGTCTCTAGGCGCGGGAGCCTGAGCCAGGCAGGGCTCGCCATGTCCACCAGCGGGCTGCGAGGTCGGGAGGACTCCAAGGCGCCTCGGAGGCTGAAGAGGCTGGGCTGCAGGCGCTGTGGGGTGAACCGAAGGAGCAAAGGGGGTTCGGGGAACACTGAGTCTGCCCCAGCTCGTGAGGGGCGCTCTATAAAGAGGCGCGCGCCCCGGGCTCCCCGCCCCCGCCGCTCTTTCCCGACTCCCCGCCCCGCGCCCAGGTCACTGGCCGCCGCGGTGGGCGGCCCCTGGCGAATCCACACCCCTGCCCCGCCTTCTCCTCCGTAGGAAACTCCGGGACCCTGCAAGGAATGACTCACCCGTGATTCAATCGCGCCGCCGAGCGCCAAAATGCCTTTTGGCGGAGGCGGGTCCAGGTGCTGAGAGAACCCGGGCTCCGGGCATCCCCCGTCTCCCAGTCTTGGGTCCGGGTGGCCCGCACGTCTGTGCGGGGTGGGGAAAGGCGCGTTGGAAAAGAGTTCTTGAGTTAGAGGGAAGGGATCCTTGCCTTCCATTTGGCGATCGTGTCGTCTGTGCTGGTGGGAGCGGAAGCGTTTGCAACATTTCGTAGAAAGCAAGGGTTCAGGACTCGGCTAGGGTGGAGAGGGCATTTCCCGCGACCTGGCGCATGCGGGACTGAGGCTTTGCTCGTGCGGCAAAGTAACTGCGCGGTGGGACTTGTCATGAGCAAGTCCCATTCCCAGCGACGATCTCCTCGTTTTCCTGAGGAGCAAGGACCTCTGGCCTGCCTGCCAAACAGGGCTTTTAGGATCGCATTATATAAGGGTGATGAAAATGCACGTGTTTGCTGTGGACATAAACGGCCCTCAGCCCACAGGTCCGAAGGCCAGTAGTCCCAGACGCCATGGAGTCCAACTCGGATAGTGAATGAGGACGAGCAGCCTCAAATCTGGCAGTTTGCCTCTGGGAGAATTTCATTGTGACATCTGCAGTCCTGTGGTTCCAGAAAAGATGGTTCTCACGTTGAAGAAGAAGACATCTGTGGGATTGAGTGAGTTCCTTCCAAGTGTAGGGAAACCAAAAATGAAATTGAAAAATATGATCCGACTTTCAGGCTACTTGTTATCCCCCACCCCCACCCGCTTTTGTTTGTTTATTTGTTTGTTTGTTGTTAAACTCCCCTGAGACTGGGTATTGAACCCAGGGCTTTGCACATACTAAACTCACAGTCTGTCGCTGAGTCCTGTGTCACTAATGTTAAATTTTGTATTTTTTTTTTCTGAATAATTTTCCTGTTTCCTCTTCTGGGCTTTGCTGTGAAGTTGTCAGGCATAAAAATGTTAACTATTATCCTTTTTGTGTGGTATCTTACACCATCTTGTCAACAAAGGGTCTCCCATCACTCCTTTGTTTTTACTTTGTAGTTGCCTACAGATAGTATTGAAGATTCTTGGAGAGTGGAGTTTGTGAAGTCAGCTTTGCCTTTTAGTATATACTAGACACACATTTCCATATAAATCTGCTGAGGCATAGTATTAAAAATTAATTTTGAACAAAGTAAACCTTGCAAAATTTTAATTTTCTCCCCTTGCCTGAGTGGAGGGAACACAGGCTTAGCATTTGCAGTCCTTCCTAGAAGCGGAAAACTGTGCTTACTGGTTTCCTCTTTGAGCTCTCCTCCAGCTCTAAAACCCACAAAATTTATATTTGCAAAACTAAGCCTGCAATATGCCTTTTTGCAGTCTCTGGCCAGAGTCATTTTCCTTACTGGGATCTTCAGCCTCACCTGGGGTGGATTCTTTGCTCTCTAGTTAAAGGTCAAAAAAATTGTTAAACTTCAACCAATTTTTCCAAGACCCAAGAAACTGTTCCTCCCTGTGCAGAGAAATTCCATTTGGAGTTAACTGAATGTCCAGAAATCATATGAAAGAATTTTAAGCAATGTCAAGATCAACCATTTGATAATAAAAATATGTGACACAAAGTGCCATAAATATTGATGAATTAGATGAATATTTATTTGCATATCCATTGTCAGGCAGGGAAGAGAAGAATATTCAGGGTGTTTGAATAGATTTTTTAGCAAATATGAAATATGGTTCTTTGCTGAAATTACTACTATTTTCAAGAAGAGGAGGAAGAAAACTGGTCATAGTAAGTCATATTTCAAAGCAAAGTTTTTCTCCAGTTGGTGAGATTGTGGCCAGGTGATTTCTAGAACAACTGTTGTTTGGCACTATTAAAAGTACATTTCTACCTGGGCATAGTAGTGCATACCTCCAAATCCAGTTATTGGGGAGATTGAGGCAGAAAGATCTCAAGTTCAGGGGCATCCTGGGCAACTTGGAGAGACTGTCTCAAAATTAAAAATTAAAAATAAAAGGGGCTGGGGGTGTAGCTCAATGACCCTGGGCTTAATTCTCCAGTACTATTGTGAAAGCACATTCCTGAAATTTCACTATTGATATTTACTACACAGGAACAAATTTATTGTTCTACTTACTCCCTACCTTTACACAATTTTTTAATTTCCCTTTAGTAAAGGCAAGCTTTGATACATCTTGAAGGCTTGAAAAGTGCCATAAGTTACTAAGCTGTCATGACAATCATGCTGGCCTGGCCAGTCCTTTCTGATTAAATCTTAGCATGTAGAGGGGGTGGAGAGGATCTCACAAACATTCTTTTCAAGATCCTGAGACTTGCTGACCTGAATGAACTTGCTTCTTAACAGAGCAACAGAGATCTGATCTTCCCACTCTAGGGGCTTTCCTTCTATTATCATGCTTTCTTCTACTCCCACTGCATGCAAGTAAGATTGGATCACAAACTCCATTGACTGCATGATTCATTTATCCACCCATAGGTACTCAACAATGTTCTGCAGGTGGTGTGGAAAGCACTTGCAGTGAAGCCAGGCACAGTGGTGCTTGCCTGTAATCCTAGCTACTCAGGAGGCTGAGGCAGGAGGACTGAAAGTTAAAAGACAGCATTTAGTAGCTCCATGAGGCCCTCAGCAACTTAATGAGACCCTGTCTCAAAATTTAAAAATAAATAAATAAATAAAAAGGGCTGGGGATGTAGTTCAGTGGTAAAGCGCCTCTTCCCCTGAGTTCAAACTCTGGTACCAAAACAAACAAACCCCCAAAACGAAAAACCGAAGAAAGAAAGAAAAAACTTTGCAATTTTGGGAACTTGTTCTTAGCAGAAATATCCTGTCAGCTATTCCTTAAAACATACATGCACATAGAAGGTTATAGTTCCCTTTGCATAACTAGTGATTAAATGTGGCAAAAAAAATGTCTAGGGTACTGTTTCAACCCTTCTTTTGTATTTTTATAATACTTGCTACTAATTTTACCAATTCATATTCATCAACTACTTTTCTTGATTTCAATTGTGCATTTACTTCTCAGTCTTTCCCATTCTTATTCCTTGGGGTAATAGGAACTGGGATTTTCTTTACATTGCCCGATCCTTTGCACAATTTTAAGCACATAGTAGGTGCTTTTTTCAACCAATGAAAGAAGGCTTTATGGAACCATGCATGCAGCCAAATATTTTCCTTGGAATTCAAGAGACTAAATCTGTTACTGAACTTTTTCTGTTTAGGGACCAGACAGTGAGCAGTCCATAATGTTCAGATTGCTAAGAAAATGCAAATCCATGGGTAGAAAGGCAGCATTTGACAGCAAACTCTGACTGTCTAAGCAGTGATTGACAATCCTTCCTATGGCCAGTAAATCTAAGCAGGAGGACTGTAGGTGAGAGCAGAAACAAATGCAAAGTTTGGGAACTGGTTACATTTTTAAAAAAAGCTTTCCTTCTAGCGTGATTCAGAATATACTCAGTCATCCTATGTGATGATGCTGTTGCTGTTGATAACTTTCCTTGCCTACAGAGGCTTCTTGGAATAAATTCCTCAAAATGTCTGTGTCCCCAAGAAAGGGATAGATTAAGATTTATGCAAGTGGGTAAACTTGAGAGTAAATCTTTAAAAAACCTATTTTATATATATGGAATTGCAAAACGAGCAATGAAACTATTTCCCCCCAAATTCAGGTAAAAGGCAAAGTATGAAAAAAGGCCAGAGGGAATTAAGATTTAGTGGGAACATAGAGTTCTGGAAAAAAAAAAGTGACTCAGCAGAACCTAACAAACATCAGGCAGGACATAGTTAGTCATGGAAAAATTGGCAGTCATGATTATGCATTTTGTGAAAATAATTATGTACTGGTCTAACCGTTTACATTTAGACCAAAATTAAATAGTTGAAAGTCTGTACAATAAAAACAATTATCCTGATTATCCAGAGTCTCTGCTAGACCCTTGATGAGTAAAACTGAAAAGTTCTTTTCTTATTAACTATATCATCATTGCTTTTGCCAATATTTTAATGATTTTCTATCAGCATTTGCTTTGGATATAAAACAATCTTATCAATGTTGTTTATTAGTAAATTTTGTTCCATGCCCCTACCCAAACAAAAAGATGTAAGTATATTATAGTCAGTCAATCAAACAGGTATCTTTAACTCAGCAAATTGAAACACAAGTACTTCATTAGTTTGAATGTATTAATGACTCTAAGTTTTGCATATGCTCAACACTACCAACTCTAGGCTGGGGGTTGTAGCTCAATGATAGGCACTTGGGTTGGATTCTCAGCACCACATATAAATAAATGAATTAAATAAAGGTCTATCAACAACTAAAAAAAATTTTTTAAAAGATACAACTCTATAAAAGTCTGGAAGAAAAATAGCCAGGTATGAGATTTCTCAGGTCAAGAAAATATTAGTTAAAACAAAGTTTAAAAGTAGGTGTGAAGGCAGTTTTATTGTAATTTACATGTATACTTGTTGATGTTTTTTATAAAATAGCCTAGTGGAGAGATGCTCCAAATTTTGTACCTGCCACCCATCTAATCACTTGCTGCTTTTGATAGATGATGTTTTGATAGATGATCCTATTATACCAATTCCTCTTTCAAGTAGAGCTTTCAAGCCAGGAAGTAAGTCCCTAATATATGAAGTTATTTCCACACTGGGAACATATTTATAATGTTCACCTAGTTGTAATTGTCATCAACCATTACCCATTAAGTCAGTATATTGTAGTAACTCATAGTTCTAAATAAAGTACAAACCATGGAACAGCTTCTATTCCCTATCATAAGAGGGAAAACAGGATGCTATAGCTGTAATATTGTATCTCTCTCCCCCACAAATTCATATCTTGAAAAACTAACCTCCAATGTTATGGTTGGGAAATGGGACTGCTGGTAAGTGGCTAGGGCACAGGTGCAGCCCTCATGAATAGGATTAATGCCCTTATGAATAACTCCAGAGAGCTCCCTCTTCCTGTGCTGTGTGAGAACACAGCGAAAAGAGCCATCTATTAACCAGAAAATGGAACTCATAAGCGGGTTCTGCCAGAACCTTGATCTTGGAGTTCCCAGTCTCCAGAACTGGGAGACCTAAATTTCTGTTGTTTTAAGGACACTTAGGCTCTTCTTTGGTGCTGCCTACAGAGGTGGTAGCCATCTGTATTCACCATCATGGCTGCCCTCACACCTCTTGCAAAGCCCAAAATTGTCAAAATGAGGACCAAGGAGTTCATCTGGCACCAGTCAGACTGATATGTCAAAATTTAGCACAACCTGGTGGAAACCCAGAGGTATTGACAACAAGGTGCAGAGACGATTCAAGGGCCAGATCTTGAGTGATGCCCAGTATTGGTTATGGGAGCAACAAGAAAAACAAAGCATATGCTGCCCAGTGGCTTCCAGAAGTTCCTGATCCACAATGCCTAGGAGCTGGAAGTGCTGCTTATGTGCAACAAACCTTACTGTCCTGAGATTGCTCACAATGTTTCTTCCGAGAACTGCAAAGCCATTGTGGAGAGAGCAGCCCGACTGGCCATCAGAGTCACCAATCTCAATGCCAGGCTGTGCAGTGATGAGAATGAATAGACAGTTCACATGGCGTGTGTGTGTGTGTGTGTGTGTGTGTGTGTGTGTGTGTGTGTGTGAGAGAGAGAGAGAGAGAGAGAG